GCGTATTAGGGATACTCACCATAGACGTCTACCTGCAAACGTACCCTCGGCCGACTCTTTCACCAGCAGCTTGAAGACTAGACATGGCTTCGTCTGCCCGAACCTGTGAGACCGAGCAATGGCCTGTCCAAGTTTAAATGCACGTATTCACTGAGATAAGTGAACAGTACATACTTGCAAATCCTACGGAAGAAATAAGTGTGAGCGAGACTGGACATCTGAAGCGAAGTATCCATACCTGATGGGGATTGAAATCCGGGTCAAAGATTATAACAGTATCTGCGCTCCAAAGGTTGATGCCGACGCCTCCAGCGCGAGTCGACAGGATGTAGATAAACACGTCCGACCCTGGTTTGTTGAATGCGTCCATTCCCTTTTGGCGGTCAGCCTGCTTCGTGTCTCCGTCCTGTTATCCGATGCTATTAATGCACGATGCAGACATTCGGAGGAAATAGGTCTACCAGCCGCAGATATTTGTACCCTTCTCCGACGAGGAAATCTTCAATCACATTGAGCGCGATGACAAACTGCAGATAGGGTCTCCGTCAGATACTGAGTTCAACAGACCTTCGCAGGGACTAACCTGACTAAACAAGAGGACACGGTGACCACGAGCCTTCAATTTCGGCAGCATATTCTTCAACAGGCGCAGCTTAGCGCTGCCGGAGATGAGTCTCTCGTGCGTCTCCGCGGGAGGGAGACCACGCGGCTCGATATCGTCGCTCACGAGGTAGGGATGCTGCAGGCACCTACCAACTATTTAACACTCGGAAGAGCTAGAGAACCCCTCAAGTACGTACTTGCGCAATTGCATCAGCATGTTTCTCATGCTCGACTTCGGAGCGGAACCGCCCCCGCTCTTGGACGCTTGTGTTAAACTCTGCAGGACCTGGAAGTTTTGGCCTAGCACTGGTTCAGCACATCGGTTCGGTGAATCTCGAGGATGTACGAACTTAGGATAGAGCGATAGATCTCCTTCTGCAGGGGACTCATGGAGACGGGAACAATGACCTCATTCTACAAGAAATCGTCAGCAATAGGACGGCACTACAGATATATATCACTCACCTTAGGGGGCAATGGGAGCACTTCACCTTTTGTACGACGCAGGAAGTACGGTCGCAGTCTTGTGTGAAGCTGCTTGACAAGGTCCTCCGTGAGCGTTTCGTACTCTTGCTCGAGTGCCTCCAGGTCGTTCCACTCCTTCGGATCCAAGAAGTTCATGAGGTTGAACAGTTCTCGCATATTATTATTCAGAGGAGTCTATCACGATCCATCAGCAGCTGCGTCTCACAACAGCGTACGATCAACCTACCCCGGTCATTAGCACCCGATGCACGGCGTTGAGCTGAGTCAGCTTCTTAAAGAGAAGGCTACCCTCTCCTTTCACTACCATGACTCAATACAGCATTCAAGGAAAGAGTGAGGCGACATACATCGCTGGCCTTCGTCAACGACAAGAACTTCCCATCTAGGCGTGCCCTTAAACACACTGGCGAAGTCCTTCGGGTTCGTAACGGTGTCGTACGTGGTAACCAGGACATGGTACTTGATACCAGTTGTCTTCGACCGCTTCGTGGTATGGGTCAGTTCATAATGTTTGATTACTTCTCGGGACTTCGCCTCTCCATAGAACGGGACTACTCGTAACTTTGGTGCCCACCGCTCAAACTCGCGTACCCAGTTCGTGATTGTGGAGTTGGGTACCACAATAAGAGCAGGGAATGCCTGCCAGTTCTCAGCAATGGTGCCAATGAACGTAGCAATCTGCACTGTTTTCCCCTGGGATAGCGTCAGGTATGGGTCAACCAAGGCTAGTGCCGACATGACTTACCAGCCCCATCTCATCCGCGAGGATACAATGTTGCAAGTTCCACCAGTTGTTGCAGAGCCAATTGAGGCCGTCGACCTGGGGTACGTCTAGCATCATCTCTTTCAGGATCTGACAGCCTACTCACCTGGAACGGCATCAGCGCTAAGCCAGGATCTTGACCCAAGGAAGGTTGGTCGCCCTCTTTGAAGGCATGCCGCTTCCTGAATCCATCCGGGGCCCGAGTGCTCTTAGTCTTGGGATCTGAGAGAACAACAACGCTTCGCGATTCGATCAAGCGCTGGAACGCCTTACGGTATTCTTCCCATCCGAATTCGCCTTTCCGGGGTGGAGAATCCCAAGTAGCTGTGTTGGCGATAGCGGTGAGTATGACTCTTGACTCCTATTATGAGATGGATTCACCTTCATCGTACCCCATATCATCCCATTTGATGAACGCCCACACAACGCGGCCGGATAGTTCTTCAGCATGCTCCGCAGACAGAGTTTTGCCTGTCCTTTCCTCCCATTCGTCAAGAGTCTCGGTAAGGTCTGCACTAGGCTGATCGCCCTCGCTGAAGGCAGCATCTCGTTCGTCCGCATACTTTTCGTTGTCAGAATCTTCCTCGCTATCCTCAACTATACGACTCTTGGCATACCCTTTTTGCTTCTTACCAGGCTTCTTTCGGAAGCCGTCTCGCTTCCCTGGGCACCAGAATAAGGCGTCCAGCACCCGGTCTGCTGTCTTCCAGGGCAGAGGTATCCGCTTCTCGGCATCTGGCAAAGATGGCGGAGGCATCCCTGGGATGACAGCTGCGCTATCCTTGGTTTCTTCATCATTGCTAATCGCCATAGATTGATCAGTGGTCTCCCGAACGGGCTTCGCGAGCAGGACGACCTTGGAACCCGTTTCCAAGAAGTTCTTCAGTCTCTGTCCATACATCGTAGCCAACCACATATGCGGGACCCAGGCTAGTCGCCTATAGCTGCGGTCGACCCATTTGACAAGATATTCGCGGGGCAGATTGTTCTTGTAGTTGGGCAGCTCGCCCTTAGGATGCGGTGGTTCTACAGCAGTCGCGGGATACGGTCGCCAGGCCAGGATCTTGTCCAGAGCAAATGTGTACGAGACGCAGTCAGCGCAAAGCCACTTCGTATTGTCTTGATAGTACTCCGCAAGGCCGACTGCGCTCGGGTTTTCTTCCTCCAAGTCACCAGGCACTGGCATGTGTGCGTAATGCGCGATACGTTTGCAGGTCACGCAGCGGAAGAGTAACTCGCCAGGCACCTTATCCGAAGCAACCCTGTTGTCCTCCTTAGCGCTATCTGGAGCCTGCTCTGATGGTCGATCCTTCATTTCGACGTCGCCGTCTTTGTCAAGGCGAGGTTCCTGAAGGCCGGGAGACTGAGCATTCGTCGCTTGCAAAGAAGAAGACTGCTGGTCGACTACGGGCTCCATGCACCCCATACAGATACCGCCCTTCGTGCATGAGCCACATAGAAATTCCGTAGTTTCAGATACTTCCAGCGTCATCCGCTTCTTCGGTACTGAATCCTGGTCGTCCTGGCTGCTGGGGTCCGCAGTGTGCTGTGCACGGTCCTTTTCCCTGACAGCCTTCATTATTTCATCTTGCTGGGAGCGCGCGAGGCAACCCCAGTGAGCCGATACGGGACATTTAAGGCTGCACGTTGATGTGAATCTCAGTCCGGCAGTCCCCAGGTATGGTTATATACGCACCAGCGAACCCAACCCCCTAGCGCGGCAAGCTTGTCCACGTCTCCAGTGTCGTCCTCGTCGTCGTCATCCGATTCTTTACTCTTCTTCCTACGCCCTGGCTTACCCTTCTTTGCATCTTTGATTAGAAGATGCGTGGGCTTTCGTTGACACTTCTCGCATACGCTACGATGTTGCCGGAGAGGGATGGTCTCATCATCGGAATATGGGTCGTAGTCGAGTTCCTCCACGGAACGGAAATGACCGTATGCGGGGCGAGCTGCACGGGGACGAGCTCGCTCCCTTCTCTTGGGCTTCGGTCGCACGGACTCGTCACTTTCGTCTGCGATCAAGTCCAACTCGTCCAGGTTGGCAGCATCCCGTAAGTTACCCCTTGCGCTCTTTCGTGCTCTAGTAGACCTTCTGGCTGGCATAGTTTCCTCGACATCGCTGTCTCCTTCCGACTCGGCAATGAATGCTTTCCCAGAGCGGGTCTTTTTCGGGCTAAAAGGCAGAGCCTTGACGGTTTTCTTCCTACCATGCGACACGACAGCAGTGGTCTTCTTCCCATCTAGCAGCTCGACATCAGTGAGTTCACTTCCAGCGTCACTCGCGTCTTGAGCTTCGTCGAAGTCGTCGTCGCTGAGTACACGTGCTCCTCTCTTCGACTTGGCTACCCCGATGGTCTTCTTGCCAGCATTGAGGGTGAACTTGAAACGCACGCGCGACCTCGGATGTATGTCCTTAGAGGAGAAGTCGATACGCGAGGCATTGCCTTCCGCCTTTCTACGTTCTAAAACAACCGGGGATAAATCGAATTCGGGACATATATATGAAGTACGATGCGCACCGAAGTCCTGGTACAGAGCTTCATACTCGCTGGTAAATCTGTCCGCTACATACTGTTGTGGAGAAGTCATCTCATTAATGGCAAAATTGGCGTTTGACAGTAGTAGCAACCGTACCCGCCGGACTTGGTCATTCGCGTGCCTGGCGAAGATATACGAGATTCCATCCTCATCGTATTCGCCAATAACTTCTTCCGGATCAGCATCCTGGTCCGAGAGCTCATAGTCCCAGTCATCCCAATGTTTGTACTTCCGAGTCTCAAGGTCAGGCAGAAATGGCACTTCGACATAGGCCTCTTCCACAGGTAAGCTGTTGGCTATAAGCGCTGTATCTGGCGCGGGAACGTGAAGATGATCGGGTGCATCAAGTGAAGTTTCCGGCTTCTCTGGGTGTGGAAGTTCTTCGAGATGCATAGTCTTCAGCGCGTCACTTGCATCTTCCAAGGACATGCTGAATAGCAGGAGAGGTTATGTGGGACGCGTCCAAGGGGTATATTGTAGACGCGACAGGCTCCGTACAGTAATTGAGACACGGCTTTCTCACAGTCATGTGCGTCGCGTTATTTCCTAATTTCATCACGGGGCAAAGGCTGCGAATATAAACGGCGGACCCAACTGCGACAATGATGTCACTTTGCCGGAGTGGTTAACGGGATCGCCTGCTATTCTAGCATCGTAGCGGTTGGGCTTTGCCCGCGTGTGTTCGAATCGCACAGGTGACGCTTTTTTCTTTCGATTGGACTTGAAAATCTCCTGCCTGTCGCCTCTACTTCGCGCTATAGCACTGTGTCTCATGCTTAAGTCGACCACTTCTGCGCCGGACTCGGCGACTCTGACTGGCGCTGACGTGCTCTGTGCGCTTATGAGCAGGCCTTGTCTCGTCTGAATTAGAAGCAGTACCTCCGGCGTGCGATCAAAATCCCTCTGAACGTCGTACGGAGCTCCTGCGCTCACTGCTACCTCACCAACATGGTCTGGCAAGATATACTCTATTCACGGTTCTCTGGGTCTTAGGGCTTGGTTCTCTGCATCGTAGGACATAGTGCGGAGATGACCCTGTCATCATTTAGGGGATTAATATTCAGGCTATATAGGTCCTCCACCGCCCTGGGAGGGTTGCATATCGTACATATCTATCCCTCTCTACGACCCGGTACGTACGAAGCACCTTCTTCAAAGAAGTCACGAACTTGACATCAAAAATAGGTGGCCTTTCTTTAGCACAGATCTGCCAGGTATTTTTGTTACTGGCGTCTTCATGTCAATTGAGGTGACGCGGTATCCCATGTCAATTGCAAGGAACGGTGGCAGTACTATTTCTGGAGCCTGATGTCCGTTGATCGTGCAATATAGGAGCCCGTCAGATCGGGTTGACGGAGAAGGGAGTCCGTCGCCGGTAAGGAAGACGCGAGCACCCTGTGTTTCTCTGGCCTCTGTGAACTCGCCGATATCTACCAGAACCTGGGCTTGCAGGGCTTCGTTTCTTGAACAGAAAACCCACCTTCCCAGCCTTCCCGACCATTAATGTCCTTTAGAGCGTCCGGGCCCACAGTCTCGGGCAGGAAGAAAGGAAGCCTGAGATCATGGAATGCTGGGCTTCCGTCACTGGTCTTGCCCTAGTCTCAGATTCAGGTGTTCTTTGCCAAGGCCGACTGCTGTCTTGCCAAGCTTTGCCAAATGTAGACAGCTAAGTTCGCCTTAATGCGCGCTGGGCAAGGACGAGTACGCTGGGCCTCCTGCCTGCCAGCTTGATGGCGGGCGCCTGCCGGCACCTTGCCGGTGATCGCGCGCCCTAGCACCGCGCCCATGCGGTGCAGTAAGGCGCCTGTGAAAGATAATACAGTGAGTACCTAGTTAATGGTATTGTACAGTCATACTCGCATGTCGTTCGCTCTGAATTACTATGAGCCAGCTAGAGAAGCGGAAGTAGAAGCACGGCACGGGTTTGGCGGTCTTCCTCGTCGGAACGGCGCTCATCACGAGGTTAATTTTCGTCAAATTTGCACCGCTGCTCTCACTTCCAGGAAGATCGTAGGATGCCAGACGCATATGCACTCTGTGGCATTGGTCGGTGTGTATGACGTGAGATACTTGTTCCCTGACGCCTTGAATTTTCCAGCAGTCTATTCAATCGTATCACCGCCGATGGGAAGGATTCCTGACAATTCCAAAGTAACTGCACTATAAATATGGCTCCAGGCTCGACTGGCCAGCGATTGTGCCTGCCTCTCCGCAGGTGAGGTATCAACATCCGTCCTACAACGCCGTAAATTGTTGATGGCTTTAGTCAGATGTTACGCTGAGAAGATGTATCACAGGCCCCGGGCGGATTTTTCGACATCTAAGGTTCTCTTCGGGCGATGATATCCGGTCGTATTGACGGGGGAGTCCCCGACCTTCGTGGAGTAAATTATAGGCGCTGCTTAGGGTCCTGATCTTTGGTTCCAAATTCCTAGAGGGAGGCATGGACCACTGTCTTGTTTTCCCGGATTTCAAACCATATACCTGCGCTATAAATATGGCAGCAGGTCCGACTTTCCAGTGATGGTGTCTACCTATCCACAGGTGGAGTAAATCTCACTAATAGAATTCGGTAAAGTGTTAATGAGCATCTTCTTAGAAGTTATCGCCAGATTCTCCGGCGTCTCAAAATCTATTTGGGAGATTAATGTCTCTTTATGACGGCGCATGAGGGAAGTCTCGATTTGATCGAGCCTCTTGCCTTTAGGGTCAGGTCTCGACATTGCAGATGTGTGACAGAAACATGGTACTCAAGTCGTTCGTACTCAAATCGTCCGTGATAGTTTCTACCACGCTGACAAGCATATCAGAGACTCCGGACGATTTCGCATCATCTTAAATTCTACTCAGAGATTATACCTCATCCCGGTGCGATAGTTCACTGTCGGTTAGGCATGGCTCCCTACCAGCGGGGTATCAGATAAGTAGCATTGGACCACCGTTCTATTATCTGATACATGCTGCACTATAAATACGACATGGACGAGACTCGAGCGAATATCCGCAGGTTAGGGGCTACGACCGCAATTCAAAAGTGACATCCGTGCCGTGCGTCTTTGATCTCTACTTCTGCGGACGCGGACGCTTGCCAGTCACGGGATGCTTAGCGTGCGTTGGGAGCCGGCTATCCAGTGAATGCTGACCGATGCTGACCGAGGGTCGGTGCTAGGCCTAGAGGATCGTTGAGCGGCAGCTGCAGAACAAGGACCAGCGTACCGAGTGCTCCGAATGTTTTCAGGCGTTTCGATATCTCCCGGTGTTCTGCACGTCGCTCCCTCATCGGCCTGAACTGAAAATCTGGACTCTCAGCAGTATCTGGTCTTACTTTGGCTGGCGACAGCGGCCACTTGGGCTGCCCTGCTCTCCTGTCTTGTAATCTCCGCATATTCTCTATCCACCCGGTCGTGTATCTCATGCTCAAACGTTCCGACAATCCAGGTGGCATCAGTGAACTACTAGTTCCCCCGATCTTCTTGAAAACTGTTCGCATGGTCTCATGTCGCAAAATTCCGGGCTGAAATTCGGCTGATCCTTGTGATCCCAGATGATTCTTATGCCACTATTGGGACTCAATAGGCAACTACGCTGAGCCTGGACTGCGCGTGCAGATGTTCTATGTTCGTGACTATCGGCTTGCATTCCAGCCACCCTAAGTATCGATGTCTCGGGGATCTTGCTACTTGCAAACTCGGTACCGCTTGTGAACATTGTCGACGGTCGGTGCTAGGGCTAGAGGATGGTCGAGCGGCAGCTGGAGAACAAGGACCAGCGTATCGAGTGCTCCGAAGGTTTTCAGGCGCCTCGATATCTCCCGGTCTTCTTCACATGGTATCTCTAATCGGCCGAAACTGAAAATCCCGACCATTAGTCTTCTGGGAAATGGAGTAGTGCGCACACTCCGATCGTAGTCTCCGCATATCCTCTATCCACCCGATCTTTTACCTCATGCTCAAACGTTCCGACAATCAGTGAACTACAAGTTCCTCCGATCTTCTTGAGAACTACGCATGGTCCTTTGTCGCAAAATTCCGGACTGAAATACTGAAGCTCGGCCCGATTCTTGTCATGCGTTATTTGTATTCAGTACGCGACCACGTTGAGGTGGATTGTTCTATGTTCGTGATTATCGGCTTGTGTGCTAGTCCTTGTCTCGGGGATCTTGTTGCTCGCAATCTCGGGACCGCTCTGTGATAATTAATCATTGTCGAGGGTTGGGCCCAGCTGTGCGCTATATTCTTGTACAATGCTGCAGAACCGTTGACATCTGGGACCTTTACCGTCCAAAGCTCCTCGATCTCTCCGATGGCATACGCACAGAGAGCACGCGGACCTTCGTCTCCGATTTCTTGACTCGGATTATTCTAGTGGTGAAATATGTACGAGAGTGCGCTATAAATACGACACCGAGGCGACTGGGCTGTCTGCCTCTCCGTTAACTCCCGGTAGGTGCTAGTGAGGTTTCGTGACTCAGTCCTAGCCAGGAGATGGAGGCTCGGCTACTCCGCGGAGTCAACTGTCCTTTCTCGCCCTATGGGAAACCAGCAGGGGAGGACAGGTTGTTTATTCAAAGAAACGACGCTCTGGCGGCAGTTTTTGCGTCTTGTCAGCTGAGAGGTAATCTTCACCGGGGCTTTTAATTAACTCATTTCCTCAGCTGGAGTACGGCGGCGAGGTGTTATATTTTAGCGACCCAAGCATGTCCTTTGTTCATACACTTTGTTTTGGAACGCGACGCACCCGGGCATTTTAAATCTCGCATGCTTTGCGGTGCTAGTTGATATCGGGATCGTAAAGACAGATAGTTTCCGAGTCGGTCTGTCGTTCTATCGGTACTTGTGTAGTAGCACTTGGGTTCGGGTTATTCGGTATGATATAATCAAGATCCGAGCTGCCGGAAGTTCCCTGAGTATTGGCGCTAAGGGCGGGGTCTGGAGACAAGTATGAAAGCCGAGTCACAAAAATATAACAAGCGTTTTACGACAAAGCATGAATATTTCCAGCACGGTCAAGTCAGTCCGCACCAGTATCTCCACTGATACCGAGTACTCGCTTTATGGTCGGCGTCGGCGCCGAGTAAAGTCCTGAGGAAGGTGGCCCATTCGAGGGCGGCATGTCAGACGGCGAGGATTCTTTGCGATTATGAATCAGCCGAAGCGAGTTTGCGTCAAAGGAATTGTTATAGGCGACACTACTGGCACGATACGCAAGAAAGGACAAGTGCTGCTGCGGCAAGGTGCGCGATCTTGTATCTCATCCAATCACATTCGCCAAGAATGATCAGTGCAGGCCCGGTGATCATACAGCTCCGGAACGCATCGGGCTGCAGCCCATTCCTTGTGCTTGCACTGCAGTATTTGCCGCTCGCTTGAGTTCACGGCAGTTAATACTCCATGCTGGGCACTCTAGAAGCTTGATACCGCTGGTTGTGAGTCTGCGGCGTGCGTTTCGCGAAGGCCGCGCTGGTATTCCTGACATCGTCGCGGGAGAACCCTGGTGTTACGTAAGGAAAGCGTCCGGGCGTGGGGCTTGGCATTTTTTGAGCCAAGTCGAGACGGGGCTTGGCAGCACTGCAAGACCCCGGGAGCAGGTGCCATCGAAGACGGCTTCGGAAGCTGTTCCTTGCCCACTTCATTCTCAACAATATCTTGTCCCGCGGCATCCCATTGCCGCGTGCCTAGGCCGCGGCGGGCGTCCGTACTGC